TTTCCTGGATTACCATCCATGGGGCGAGATAAACAAAATTGATATTTCTATGAATTTAATTCTTGCTATTTCTTTATCTGCTTCCTTTTATTGCAGATGGTCTTTTGGAGTGGTTTTGTGGGAACTAGCCACCATGGGTAAGCTAGATTTATAAATCTTTGTATACTGATGCTGGTAGAGTAATACTCTAAACATTTTCCTATACCCGTAGAAATTGAGAGGAATCCCCCAAGAAAGTAGTTAGGGAAAAGCTGACTGTTCAGTATTAGGATAGCAATCACCGGGGAGGAGCTCAGGCTCATAATAATCCAGCCTAAAAGTCATACTCTTAACTAACCTGAGAAAACAGCTGACATTTGGCGACGCTACCACTGGTTTCCTCGCCAAATGACGTCTGGAAAATGAGCGCAGAAATTCTATACGCGTCACTACCCAGATCTTGGTAGTGCTTCTGATTGGTTGAATCAAATTTCCCACGCGGCACGACCAATCAGAAGCAGTACCCAGATTTGGGTAGTGACGCGTCATCAGTATGGAATTTCTGCGTTCGTTTCTCAAAAGTCATTTGGCGGGGAAACCAGTGGTAGCGTCGCCAAACGTCGGCCGTTTTCTCAGGCTAACTCTTAACCAAAACTTGACCTGATATCACGTGTTACTTAGCAAAATGAATACTCAATAATTATTTTTTAACCCTCCCGGAAGCTGGTAAATTGATAATACTGATAATGGTAATTGAACTGAGTGGAGAGCAATTTGGTCTGAAATCATTCGATTTGTCACAAGTATGATTTCAGGCCAAAATTGCACGACACGAAGTTGAATTATCACCTTCTTACAGCCATTTTAAAATCGCAGAATTCAATCAGCACCAGCAGTGATTGGCCGTGGCAACAGACAAGGTTGCTCGTTATCCCCCATACCCTTTAACATATATCCTGAAGCCATGCTAAGAGATGCTTTTTAAAGCTTAAAAGCGGTGTGAATAAAGGTGTTCGAGTGGGAGGTCATCTCATGAAGACAGTGCAATTAATTTGAGGATGAGTGATCAACCTTAGCTAGTTCAGTAACTTATGATGGATTAGCCTGTTCCAGGCTCCGAGATAGTGGTGAAAAGTCGTTCAGTAAAAAGAAATGCGAAAAAAAGCGCGGGGGCCGCAACCGCCCCCTTTCCCAAGTCGCGCGCGTCTTATTTTCGCTTTGCTCGATTTAATACTTCAGCACTATACTATCTGAGAGCCTGGCACAGGCTAATGATGGATAAAATGCAGGAATCCGTGGAAGAATATGGCATGAAGATCAATTTTAAGAAGACTAAGGTGATGAAAGTCAGTGAGAGGCCTGGCCTTGAGGGATTCACGATCTTTCTTGAGGATAACAATTAAGTCAAGAATCGCACCTTAACCACCTTGGGCTTCTTATTACACAGGATGGATCCTGTGAGAAAGAAATTTCATCAAAAATAGCCCGAGAACGCGTTTACTAAGAGAAAAGAACTGCTGAAAAAAGCCTTCAGCCTTTCCCTGAAGAAGAGAATTATAAAGACTGTCATCTTGACTTGAGCACCCTTCTGTATGGAGCCGAATCATGGACCTTGAAGAAAGAGGACGTGCGAAGGTTGGAGAGTTGTGGGATGTGGCTTTGGAGAGAGGTCTTAAATATTACTTGGTCTGACAAGGTCTGTAACGAAGAAGTATTGAGGCGTGACGGTGAGGAGAGAGCCATCATATCTGTTATCAACAGAAGACAGAGAGTCTGGCTTGGTCATACCCTACGACATGGTGATCATGTCCCATTAGTTATTGAGGGAAGAATACCAGGAAAGGGACCACCTGGAAGACCTCGAGCGGGAATGCTGGATGGAGTGAAGGATGGCAACTCCTACGTAGGGGTCAAGAGGCGGAAGGAAGGACCTGCCTGTGGGCAGATCAAGTAGCCTTTTGAAAAGCGGAAACAAAAGGGCTTTTAAATCTCATTTTGTATTCGCAACAGAAATGATGTGATATAAAGCAAAACGGTGCGACGTGGTTTAGAACACAAATAAGGCGATTTAGAGCAAAATATAGTGTAATTTGTGAATAAATCACACTGCTGAGGGCCAATCGGATTGCAGGGATCACCAGCGATTTCAAAATATAAAATTAGAAAAGCCTGATAATCTTTGATAAGACAGCATTGATCTTTATTTTGTTATTTTAGGGGGTACTCCATACCCTAGGATAACCCCTATGAGGCTATACAGTTTACTTAAATCTGGATATCGGATGGAGAAACCCAACACGTGCCGTGATGAAATGTAAGTCAGAATAGAAATAATAAAAGACGTCCGAAAAGAGGGCATGATGAAGAAATACTTACATAGTTCTTCAAACAGTTTTTTCGTCTAAAATTGTCAGCCTTTTCCAAGGAGTGGAAACTGCAGCGCGCCTCTTTCCTTTACGTTATCCCATTCTAAAAAGAGCCTATGGAACATAAGTGTCTTCAATATTCAAAGTAAATGGAGACATATCTTCGTGTAGTAGTATTTTAACCTATGGCTTCCTTTCTCAACAGATACAAATTGATGATGGACTGCTGGAAGGAGGATCCAAATGAACGACCCTCATTCGTTCAACTAATACCGATACTAGAAGAGATGATGACAGAAGATACCCCTTACTATTATTTCAGACTATTGGATCAGAACCAGCCATGTTACCGTGAGGCATCCGCTACTAATACCAGCAAAACTAGTACGCTTGATGAGAAGCTGTAATTTCTGTAGGGTCTCTATGGTTTAATTTTTGTTAAAGCACCCTTTTCCTCTTTAGATTGTTAAAGGGGTCTCGGGGGGACGGTGGTGGGGGGAGGGGGAGGGGGGGGGCTCCAATATGAAAGCATAGGGGAATACTTGACGGATAAGTAGATTAATAGTTGCAGTTGTACCGTCCGTGGGGGGGGGGGGGGGGGGGGGGGGGGCTCCAATATGAAAGCATAGGGGAATACTTGACGGATAAGTAGATTAATAGTTGCAGTTGTACCGTCCGCAACACCAAGAAACCATAACCATAAACTGAACACCGTTGTTTTCATCTTTACTGTTTGCCAGTATTCATAACCAGTCTCCTCTGTTACGATCACAAATGACAGCCAAAGGAGAACAGTCCCTAAACAGCGTCTTTTTCTACATAGATATTTCTTTACGCACAACCCTTAAGCTACGCACAAACGGACGCAACAACTTCCAACAATGTTGAACAACGTCGCGAGTTGTTGGCCAACAAAGTTACGTCCGTTTGCAGAGGGTTAAGCGATACATTTATGGTTAAATTTTCATATGGGAGTTTCCTCGCCCAGCAAGGAACAGGACTGAGATAACGAGCACAAATGTGTAAAAGGTTATTACAATAAGATACCTGATAATATAGTTTCATTTGAAAGACATCGAGAAAATACTTAATAGCACTGGTAATATAACAATCGTAGGGATTAAAATCGGTTCATTCTCTACAAATGACTATTAAATTGTTAGTAGTTCGGATTGCTTCTTTTACTTTTTTAGTCTGTCCACACTATACTCGAAATAGATTTTCGTGTCGACATGAAAATGTATCCGTATAGAACTGGAAAAAGTCGTCCACACACATCGAACATCACACCAGAGCGGCCGGTTTGCCGAGAGGCCAGTTTGGTGTACTAAATCACAGTCCTCTCTCCTGAAAATATACTTTCATATCAGTGGGTCCCAGCCCATGCTCGCTCCTACTCATTTTACTTGAAAACCTGTTCACACTGCGACGAAAAGTGGCAGAAACCTATCCGATACAAGATGATCCACTTTTCAACATCTGCGGCGGCGCAGTTTCGCTCCTGAACAGAAATAGCCGGAAAATCGCCGTTCTTCTTTATGAACTGACAGAAGCAAAATCCGGTATTTTTTTTCGGGTCGGTGCAAGGACTTTCCGGTATAGTGTGGCTGATCATTGCCTTCAGAGTTCCTCAGACGCCAGATAGCCTACCACATAATTCCGTGGCTACAATTCAATGTTACGAACGTTTCAGTTGGCTATGTTAGATTACAACATTGCCACTAATAAACATGTCATGCCATGTTGGAGAAACGAACTATTGACTCAAAAAGGTGTGATTAGGAGTAAGGTGATAAAAGGCACTTTGGTTCACCATAACAAAATTGCCAGTAGAAGAAAATAAAGCCAAAGTACTGTCGAGACCTTTGCTGGTATTGAATAGTAATTATTATAGTGATTATAGTTAAGGCTTTTGTGTTCTTTCAAATGGTGTCATTAGCAGATCACTCGGGAAACCCACGTCTGGGTATTAAAAGTGAAGATTCGGATTATCAGGGCAGTTCGGAAAAAATAACGTTCAATTTCTGACCAATAGAGAGGGGAAGTCGTTAGTCACGTCGCCATGGTAGCAAAATGTTTGGATGACAAAAAACCGATAAAGTCACTTAAAAGTCTGTTCGCACTATTTCAAACTTCCCTGATCTTATTCATTTTCATTTAATTTGGCAAATCTTGGCGAAATTTTCTTTGGGACCGTATCTATCGTTATCTAAGTTTAGAAAAAGGAAGCGACAATTTTTGTGTTGTGGTCACCTACTCGATACAGCAGGCTCCTGAAATTAGGAATTTTTATGTCGTAGTGGTGCAATGACGGCAAAGAAATGTAGAAAATAGCGTGATGCACGTGCAAAGTTGTTGTTTGTTAATATAAACATATTCTTTTGCCGTTCTCCTTGCCGTCGCCGTCGTCGTTGGTTTTGTTGTCTTCCAGAAATAGTGCTACCATGGTAACGTGACATCACTCTTCTCCTCTACATGGTGCCAATACAATAAGTAATGCAGGAACCTTTGTGACAATTTCTGCAACTAAGGTCTGGTTTGGAAGTTAGTATATATAACACACTATTCTCTAAAGACACACACAGTCAGGCTCAGCAACGCGGAGGAAGGTATCCGCCTCGGCGTTCATCCGATATCTTTCCTCGATCTGATCATTTATATAATTCTTTTACTTAATGGATCATACACCAGGAACGAAGTCAGCACCAGCAAGAACGTTTCAATGGTTGTAGCAAGAACATAACACATATTACGTATTGACTTAACAATATTGCTTCATTTTATAATGATAATAATAAATTTTTGAATGGCATGGGTAAGATAAAATATTGTAGGGGCTTCGGTATGAAAGGGGTCATTTTGATATATCGTGCTATTATCCAAATTCATGGCCAGGCCAAGAAAACCAGAAGAAACGAAAGTCATCACTCTTCTTCTTCGTGTTCTCAGGACATGACGTCAATGGATATATCGACAGTGGCCTATTTCATAAACAAATGTCCAGCTTTTGTCAGTTTCTATATATTTGATGTCATTCTTTAAAATAAATTAAAGGCCTTTAAACTTGATCTGTGTTTGTGGTCATTTCTGAGTGATACGCTGAGAATCTCGTGAAAAGCAACCTCCGGTTTTAACCTGAAAACACATGGCTCTTGGGTCTTGGTATAGGACCGTAGACTGCTAGAAGAGCTACCAGCAACAAAAACACGCTGCCTGCTACAACACCTCGCATAGCGAGCAACCGGTCTTCTCTCACGCTAGCTTTCTTTTCTGAATCAGACGCCATCGTTGTTGATTGTTTTAATCTGTACACAGCAATGTTCGTGACCTGGATCGTGATTATCTTCACGCAAACTCTATGAAAAATACGTTGAAGTCCGTCGACCAGTAAGACTTGACTATGATGGGCCCATGTGAAGCGTTATGTATATTAACGCTGGTAACCAAACATTAAAAGATCCCCCTTTTTGTCACAGGAAGACAAACAACAAACAAATTATCGACATCGTCAGTAGTCGAGTCGCCTCAAAATTGGATGTAACGCGAGGCGACGACGATCACGCAAGTTGATTTGTTGAATGTACATTTTTCATTAAAACAAGAAGGACTCGACCGAACCAAAGTTATTGCAAGAAATGTCTCTGTTCAAAATGTTTTGAGCAAATTGCGATGTTTTGTCCGTGTGTCCTCTTCAATTTTGCCCCACACTGCCGGTGTAAAAATGTGAAAAGATAAAATTTTTATAATATAAGGCCTCGCTACAAAATACATGTGCACATTTGCACTGTAGTCACAGGCTGGCAAATTTTGTAGCTGTTCTGGTCAGGACTACATTTTTAAATATTTAGTTTTGAGGGATGTAATTGATAATAATTATTGTCAGTTCATTTATCATGCCAGTGGGAATGTTTAGCACATCCTTGCCGACAAAGAATGACCTGCAAAATTCATTTTCTTTGCAATTTGATACAGGTACAGATTGATCTGCTTTACACACTCTGTACCCCTTTCCCTCGGTGCCTGTAACACCTGAGTTTAAACATCATGTCACTGTAGCTGCTACCGTTATTTTATAGTGACCAACATTAATTTTCTCCTAACCAAATCAATACATAATCAAGCAAGAAGGTTATGAGAGATAACAAACCGGATGATCACTCAAGGAAAAATGTGGTGATCATTAAACACATTCTCTCAACTACTTCTGTTAAGGAAATGTATGGTATCAGACAAGAAAATTTGTATATGGATATTGCAACATACCCTAATCTCCCAGCTTCAGCTGAGAAGTGCCCACTCAGCAACTCTTTGCGGATGTATGTTACGGTGGACAGTCCTGTATTTGCAGCCAGTGTTCCATTGCAGATCATGTGCAGAAGCTGAAGCATTCTCATGTCATGTGACTGGAGACCACCGTTAGGAACAGATACATTGGTCAGTCTTACTGGGACACCCATTACGGTGCTAAGAGTTGCAATGGTCCTAAGAAATATTCCACTCTAGTATGAAAAAGAGAAAACAAAAACAAAACGTTGAATACATGTACTTTTGCTAAAGTGATTTTTTTCTACATTATTATCATATATGCATAACTTTAGGCCCAGTTCAAGGGTTGAACTTTTCATGTACCGAACCTAATCCCTTCAACTAAATACATGAGGAGATCGACATTTGAATCAATTACCGTAAGTTTAGGTCGACCCTTGAATCAAAGCATTATTGGGCTGAAAGGGTTAAAAATGCTTTCTATTAAACTAAAAGTGCAGAAATGTGAAGAAAAACCCTGGTCTGGCACCTTCACACCTGTATATTAAACCCTCTTGGAGTTTTTCCCCTTATACGAAATAAAAGAGTCAAAGTCCCAAAAGGACACAGTCCCTCATTCAGAGAAAGGGGGATGTTTCTTTTGACCAAAGGTATTGAAATAGCTACAACTTCAGGAATGACTCGTTATACATCTATACATGATCTATGACTCTATACATGAGAGAGAGGGTGGTGGGAAAAACACTGACCCCCAGTCCATGTACTGACCCATCGACTACCAATATGGACTAATCTAAAATGAACTATACCAATGAAGATTAATGATATGGGTTAGGAAACTGAGGGAATCAAGCTTCACATCAGTTTCCCCAAATGAAACCTGATTCACTCAGTTTCCTAACCTTAAATCACTAGACTTCAGTGGGGTAGTTGATTTTAGGGTAATCAATATGGGTAGTCCATGGACTGGGGGTCAGTCTTTTGTCCACCATCGAGAGAAAGAGGGGTGCAGATATTCACTGTAATGGTCCAAAAGACTACAAGGAGCGTCACGCTACAAAGAGCTCCTACCACATGGGCCTCATTAGCTTGTCTGCACCTTTACATTGTGACGGTATAATTCAACCGACAGAAAAATACAAAAAAACTGAGGGAATCAAGCTTCACATCAGTTTACCCAAATGAAACCTGATTCACTCAGTTTCCTAACCTTAAATCACTAGACTTCAGTGGGGTAGTCGATTTTAGCGTAATTGATATGGGTAGTCCATGGACTGGGGGTCAGTGTTTTGTCCACCACCGAGAGAAAGAGGGGTGCAGATATTCACTGTAATGGTCCAAAAGACTACAAGGAGCGTCATGCTACAAAGAGCTCCTACCACATGGGCCTCATTTTAGCTTGTCTGCGCCTTTACATATCGACTATAAAGATATTTTGTATGCTAACAAACCTGTGAACATATGCTGGGCTTCTTCGCTCTTGTTCACGTCTGGATGATATTTCAGCGAGAATTCATGATACGCGGCTTTAATTACAGCCTGTGTGGCGGAGTGCGGCACATCAAGGACATCATAAAGTGATCTCCGTTTGGAAAGTGTCCGGCCGTAAAGACATCTTGCAGTGATAGTTTGAAGACAGGAATCTATTGTATTGTGCCTCATATTTTGTCCAGCAAGAGCCACACCTCAGTCCATGGTGAACGTTAAATTTGCAGGAAACATAGATAAAATCTTAGAAAAATAAAGTTCATCGACGAACTCGAAATAAATGAGGAAAAATTACGATAAGTTAATTAGTTTCATTACCCAGCTGGGTCAAGATGCATCCGCCATTTTAAAAAATTTAACTAGTACCCAGATCTCCTGCTCAAAATATCAAGACAACTCTTTCCCAGTCTCTAATCACCTCTGCTTCAGTATGAGGCAATGAGGGTAAGACACTGGTGCTCTCGAAGGGTAAACGAAGCCGTCCATATAATAAGACTCATCTCGATGTGACGATCTGTTTATATCGCTATCGCTTGTTCCATTTCCATGGGGTCAGACAACACAGCAGGGAGCATGCAGAAAATCATTAGGGACCTTACGAAACTACGACGGCGACGGCAAGGAGAACGTCAAAAAAAAAACAATAGGTTTAATGAGCAAACAACAACCCTGCACGTGCATCACGCTTTTTTGTACGTTTCTGTGCTGTACCTTGCACAACAACGACGTGAAATGACCACACTTTAAGTTTACTTGAGTACGGGAACGACAAGGCGATTTCTACCATCTCTGTCTGAACTCGGGCGCCGCCCCCTCTCTTCAGCTCCAACCAAAATTCCCTTCTTTTAACTAACGGGGCGAATTGGGATAATCGCGAAAACTTCTAAAAGGATGCGAAGTCTATTTTTCAGAGATGTTTTCATGGACGTCGCCCTTGTCGGATCGTAAGGTCCCTACTGAGGACAACAGCCGACAGCAGAGGGATCATCTCTTGCACAGTCGAAACGTCGCGATAAAGAAAGGACGCTTAAGTTATGAAATAATAATAATAATAATAATGAATAATGTCATGATAAATAAATAGTGTCATCAAAGTTTTAGTTTCTGTACAAATATTACTCTTAATTTCTATTCACAGTTTTTCATATCTAAGCTGCGTCGTTGTAGCACAGTCTCCAACATCAGTTTACAAATTTAGCTGGTGCAAGGCAGTGAAGAAATAATAATAATAATAATAATAATAATAATAATAATAATAATAATAATAATAAACAAAGCCTAGCATACAGCAACCATTTTCAATGATAAAACTTTATGATATCAATTGTGATTTAAATGATCTGAATGGTTCGATTTCACTGATAATTAATTCACTCATTTATGGCACTTTAGAAACTTTTTTTTCCAGATAAAAGAACTGGTGATTGATTTGGCTTATAAAGTGTTGTTTTATAAGTACGTTGAGGCTGCGAAGAGAAAATAACAAAAAGACAGCAACATGTACAGGAGCCCATAACCCGGTGCGAGCAACTTCCATGAGCTAGTGTTACGGCGTTTTTACAGAGCAGCTTACTTTTAGAACGGTTTTACTTTTTTAGAGCGAATTTTGAATATCTTTTAAATATCACAAACCAGTCAGCAAAACCTTCAGACTTAAAATGATATATATTTTTTTTCTTTTAATAACGTTTAGTTTTCCTCTTTGATATCTTACTCTTCGAATGCACTCATAGACATGGTGGAGATTCTATGTTCGCGGGAAAAAGTGAGTCTAAAAATAAACTGGTCCCTAAAAACGCCGTAACATAGGCCTAGTATCAGGGGCACCCAACGAGAATATAGTTCAAAACCACTTAAAAATAGCATTGTTAAACGTATTTTAGTATTTAAACGGTAAATATAGGCATATTTTTATCCCCTAAAAATTTTTCATCTGTTCGGATTTCCTAGCTGAAAGTCTAGTGATCCGAAAATTATAGGGATCAAAACTTACCTTTTCGAAAATTTCAGCCAGAAAAAAGGCTTCCGAAAATTCTAGGTGACCTTTTTAGGGTAAAAATCCGTTAAAAATAGGCAAATATACCATTTTTTGGATGTTCGAAAATCCTAGGAGAGGCAGGCAAGCAAGAAATTTTACAACAAATGTTTCGAAAATTCTAGATCTCAAATCGTCTTCCGAACAGATATTCTTCCGAAAATTGTCGTTGGGTGCCCCTGTAGTATGGGAGTTGCTCGCTCCGGGTGCGGGCTTATGGGCTCCTTACAGGAAATAGTTAACCGACTACACGTGTCAAGACGATAGTCAAATGATCACGCGCGGTGCCAGTGAGGATTAAAGAAATTACTATTCGAAAGGGGGGCGGGGGGAAGTCATCTGTTATTTTTGGACGTCAGTTGGGGACCATTCATTCAAACCAACGCGAAAATGAGAACAGTTAGTCCCCTCAGTCTCAGTCCCCAATAAAAAAGTTAATTAATGTTCTTAAAGTAAACAGTGCGTATCGCATTGATTCATTTTACTTGAAGTATCCCTTCTAAAGTCTGGCAAGAAGACGTCGACGCATCGATTAGCAAACGTCTAAACATCTAAGAGACTACTGTAAACAAGAGTTACACAGCAGCGAGCTCCCCATTTTTCAATGAAAAATATAAAACAATGGTTACAACCCCTCAGGTGCGAGAAGAGGTATTCAGTTACGTTGCTTTTTTCGCGAGTTACGACTCGACACGAGGCCGAAAAGGTTTCGAGCCAAGGACTTCCGGAGCACTTATCACTGAGTTCGTCTCAGCAATGGAGGAAGGCTTGGGGGATCCCTTCAAAACTATACGGGAGTCAAAAAAGACTGTAACTTAGTGCGTTGTATTGTAACAACAAATGCTTCTCCCCGTAGGATTTTTGAGTAATTTTAAGCCCAGCTCTTCCTAAATAATACCGAAAAATAACTGCTGGCATTTTTTTCTGAACTATGTCTGATTGTAGCTTGTAGCAAGTGATAGCCTACGACAACTCCAGGTCAAGATTAGCCTGCGAGCAAGCTCTACATTTAGGTGTTATCGTGAAAAGTACACACGCAAGTAGCGCGCGAGGGGAGACAAATGGTGAGCTTGCTCGCAGGCTAGTGCAAGATAGTTTTGCTTGGTTGCAGCGGTATTTATTGCTTCGAAAACAAATGAATACTTCGATCATAGATTAAGCAGATAGATTTTGTAGTTTGGGAGCCCATCATAAGCCAGAGAATTGAACATAATATGATTATTGACCAGTTGACTTGAATTGCTTTTTAGATCCTGCCTGGAATAAATTTCGTTGTTAAATTTCTAGCACCCCACCCTTATTTTAGGAGTACCCTCCGGTTTTCTACAAGTGGTTTTCTGAAATATTCAGGCTCGGTATTTCCTGAGTGTGACTTAAATAACCAGTATTCATTTCTGACTAATCAAATTACATTGGAATGAACTAGGGTGTCTAGAATCATGTCGCACATTTGTTCTCAAGTTCAGTCGTTTTATAGTCAAAAACCGGGGATGAAGCAGTGTTAAGCAAGGACCACTTGTACGGAAAGTTTACCAAATACGCTTTGAGTAATGTCAAGTGTACAGAAATTCTTTCTTCTTATTATTGTATGTTTATTCACCCCATCATGTCAAGGTAAGAACTGCAAAATCATGCTTTCTCCAAAATAAGCTCCTAATTTACTCTTTT